TTAGTAGTCTAAACTCCGTGATACGGACAGTGGAAATGTGACCGCAGTAGATAGCCACAACAGTACAAAATCACAACATAACAAAACATCACAACATAACAAAACATCACAGCAACACACAACCGCAACAATACATCACCGCGACAACACATCATCACAACAAAATACCACCACAACATTACATCATAGCAACGAAACATCATCACAACAATACATCACCACAACAATACATCATCACAACAACACATCATCGCAACAAAATACCACCACAACAATACACCATCACAACATTACATCACCACAACGAAACATCATCCGACAACACACCACCACAACAATACATCATCACAACAACACATCATCACAACAATACATAATCACAACACAGCATAATCACCCCTAGACATCGTCACAACAAAACATCCTCACAAAAATCTATCATCACAACAATACAGAATCACAGCAATACGAATACATCATGACAGCATACACAATCACAACAATGCATCTTGACAAACTACATAGTCACAACAATACATCACCACAACAATGCATCCAGTCTTGGCTGACGCAGTTGTAGTGTGTATTTGCAAGGCCGTGCTTGCTGATCGCAGTGGAATTGCTGCGTCAAGGTGATGTTTGGACGTTGGAAACCGAACGAATTCCTATGTTTTCTCGCATGAAGTGGCTCCCTGCAGCGATGGGGGGAACCTCGTCTGTGCGACGGGTGCGGCTCTGCGCGGGGATGTCCTCGGACGCGTCTTAATTTGTAAAGTAACAATTTAAAATCAGGGGCGCAGATTGCACTGTAATGGCTGCTTCCATGTTTGTGATGGCAGTGTTGGTTGCCGCAGTTGTAGGGTGATTTGCAAGGCAGTGCTTGCAGATCGCAGTGGAATTGCCGCGTCAAGGTGATGTTTGGGCGTTCGAAATCGCACAAAATCTTGTATTTCTTCGCGTGAAGTGGCTCCGGCGTCGATGAGGGGAACCTCGTCTGTGCGACGGGTGCAGCTCTGGGCGGGGATGTCCTATAGGATGCGTCCTACATTGTAAAGTGCCATTCAGGGGTGCAGATCGCACTGCGCTGTAACACTACTGTAGTGGTTGCTTCCAATCTTCCATGTTTGTGATGGCAGTCTTGGTTGACGCAGCTGTAAGATGATCTGCAAGGGAATTGCCGCGTCAAGGTGATGGACGTTCAAAATCGCACAAAATCTTGTATTTTTTGCATGAAGTGGCTCCGGCGTTGATGGGGGGAACCTCGTCTGTGCGACGGGTGCGGCTCTGCGCCGGGATTTTCCGGACGTGTCCTACATTTTAAAGTTGAATTCAGGTGCGCAAATCGCACTCTTGTGGCTGCTTCCATGTTTGTGATGGCAGTCTTGGTTGACGCAGTTGAGTTGTAGGGTGATTTGCAAGGCAATGCTTGCCGATCGCAGTGAAAGTATTGTTGTGATAGATATGTGAATAGACAAGAGATGGGTTTATCTACAGATAGACAGATGGCTAGATAAACCGATAGATGGATGGATAGATATAGATAGATAGGTAGGTAGATAGATAGATATGTATGTATGTAAATAAGGACTCAAATAGACAGGGAATAAAAACAGATGGATGGCTCAAGAAATAGATACGTGGATGGTAGTAACTGCATTTTGCAGACGGTGGTTTGGCCCGGGGCTCAACCACCACGAAGGACGGTAGGTCAACACGGCGGTCGCCTACCAATAAGGACGGTGGTTTGACCCGGCAGTCGGCCACTGGCCACCAACGCAGGCATGGGATGCACCGAGAAAACAGGAGCGAAGATGTCTAAACCTGGTTACACGGGCGATATGGCAAAGAGGTATTAAAATAGAGATGCCAAGAACGTAGAGATGTGAAGAGAGTAGAGATGTGAAGAGAGTAGAGATGAGAGGAGAGTAGAGAAGTGAAAACCTTAGTCACACCTCTACTGTCTTCACCTCTCTACTGTCTTGACAACTCTACCCTCTTCACACCTCGACTCTAGCATCTCTACATTCTTCACATCGCTACTCCCTAGCCATCTCTGCATTCTTCACATCTGATGAGCAGTAGATAGTTGAAGAAAGTCGGGAAGTGAAGAAAGTAGGGACCTGAAGATAGTAGGAAACAGAAGGAAAACAGCAGTGAAGAGAAGCTGGGAAAGAAATTTGTCAGGAGAGCAGAGTGTGCCAGGTCCCAGGCCCCTGAGCTGTCAGCAAGGGAGGGGCTGTCAAGATTCGGAGATGACAAGTGCAAACCGGATCAAGAGAAAGTGTCATCATCAGGCAAAGATGTAAGGAGAAAGAAATGTCAGGGAGAGAAAGATGCCCAGACAAACAACAAGCAATTGGAAGATCTGTCAAGATTCGAAGATGACAAGCACAAGACAGATCAAGAGACAGTGGCAGCATCAGACAAGGATGTCGAGAGCAAGAATGTCAAGGACCAAGACTTCCAAGAGATCACGCAGTCGACGGCCGTGCCAGCCAGGCGGCCAGGCGGCGCTCCTACAGGCTCTCACTTTTTAAATAAGCTTTTCATGGCTTTCCCCCTCTCGAAAAGTCCGCCACCCGCTTGCCTGAACTCTACTTGTAAAACAATACCAGAACTAACTATAGAATGGGGGCCTATGACACTAGCAAATGTTTGGATTCCCTTAACAAACCTTAAGCCAAGGATTCTCTTGGTGTCATGTGTCCCCCATCTAAAGAGATTATTCTATGACTCTATATTCTTTGGAAAAACATCATTTTCTAGTATTGCGGGCTTCCATTTTATACTACCCTGATCCTATTTTTAGCACCGGCTTTTGTTGACGAAGCGAGCACAGCATATCAGCAATGAAACTAACAGCTTCAGCCACTATAAAATGGAAACCCATGACGCTAGAAAATTAAGGTTTGCCCACATATACAATCTCTATAGAATGGGAACCCATGCCACTCAACATGACTGTCACCCAGAATGTTAACCTCGCTATAAAGTGGTGATCTGCTCCCCCCAAGGTCTCTATAAAATGGGGGACCCACTCGAGCCCAAAAATTCGGCAACAACAAGCTGCTCTTATCCGGGGGATGCCCTTCCCCATTTTATCGAAGAAATTCCCAAGGGGATCGAATTCTTTTCGCCGTCTTTTGTGCATCTGAATTGTTTCAGAAGCGGGAATATTAGCATACGTAAGTTCTCATCTCCCTTCTCGGTGCTCATCTTCATTTTTGTGTGCCTAACCGGCTTCAGAAAGCAGGTATATTGAATTTGCCTCGCTTGTCACCTCCGTTTATGTGACTATGTGTGTCTAAATGGTTGTGTCTCCGTTTTTGTGCGTCTAAATGTGCTCAGAAGGCAAGTATATTGAATATGCCCTGGTTCTCATCTCCATTTCTCCGTGTCTAGGGCGTCGGAAGGCAGGTATATTATTGAACATATCTGAATTCGCATCTCCGTTCTTGTGTGTCTAAATTTTCGCGTCTCCGTTCTTGTGCGTCTAGTTTAAATCTTCTCAGAAAGCAGAAAGTGAGTGCATTGAGCATACTTGATTTCTCATCTCCGTTTTTGTGCGCCTGAAAGGGTTCAGAAAGCAGGTATATTGAATATATTGAATATACTGGGTTCCCACCACTCAATTGCCATGCGGTACATAACCCTCAAACAGTGCCATCTCCGTTTTTGTGTATCGGAATGGTCCCAGAAGGCAAGTATATTGAATACTCCATTCTTGTGCGTCCAAATGGGTTCAAAAGGCAAGTAGACTGCATAGACATGAATTCTCACCCCAATTTTGTGCGTCTAAAGGGTCTCAGAAGGCAAGTATGTTAAACATACCTGGGTCCTCATATCAATTTTTGATCATTTTTGTGTGTCTAAATGTTGTGCGTCATCTCCGTTTTCGTACGTCTGAATGGTTTCAAAAGGCAGGTGTATTGAATATACCTCGGTTCTCATTTCCGTTTTTGTGCGTCTGAATGGTTTTAGACAGCAAGTATAGTATATAGAATTTGCCCGGGTTCTCATCTCCGCTTTTATGCGTCTATATCAATAGACTCAGAAGATTCAGAAGGCAGATACCTAAGATATCTATTTTTGATTATTTTTGTGTAGAAATGGTCTCCAGAGCCGGACCAAGGGGGAATCGATACCCTATCGTCACTCAATTGCCACGCGGCACCTGGCCCTGACAACTTGGCCATTGCCGCGCCTAAAGCACGACCTAATGTTTGCGTTTTCCGGTTCCTTTCCTCACACCTGCCACCCAAACCCCCTTTAGCTCACAATGTCTGCGATGATAACCTCAGCCTAGCCTGTCGGCTGGCTTTGGTAACTGATTAAATATGGTATGGCTTTCGTGCATGATGAAATATGGTATGGAAATGTTGAGAATTTAAAATATGTCATGATTCGATCCGGTATATATATATATTATATATATACAACATAATGTTACAATATATTGCAGTATATATTTGATCCAATTTTGAGGCACGCCAGGTGAAAACCAATGATGCCATCCCAAAACTGGGAAACAAAAGACATTCACCAATCAAGAACAAACCCAACCAGGCGTGAACGTCCATCCTGGGCAGCAACCTAATTAGTAGCCCATATTGCAAATAGAAGCTGGCGATCTTGTGACAAAGCCTGCAGAATTTTACTGTATCTTGGCGCCCGTCCATCTTCAAATGTGTGTAATGCTTGCGACATCTTGCGACAGTATATGGGGACTCCCTGGCTGCTCAAAACTTCATCCTGATGCATGATTGTGACATCTCAACTTGCCAAGCGTCTCTACATAGATCGCTCATATGCGCAGTTGAACAGGTCCTCTCCCAAATGCTGGAGAATTCCTGGTTCCAATGGCGCGCTGGCACTCACTTGAACGTGGAACAATGCAGAAAGTATGATAGAGACAGTGGCTGCTAGCAATCTTCATGCATGTCAAATCCGTTAAAACTTTGCTGATTTGCTGCCCGAAACTCTTCTCCAGTGGATTGGTTCGACAGAGAGGTCCCTTTCTTGTCTCTGCAGCTTGCGCGATTCTGCAGCTTGCTCGACTTCTTTCTCAGCAGCTACGCTCAGCATCTGGCCTGGTAGTTCCCACGGAACAAACTCCACCAAGGCTTTTTGTGATCAACCAAGCAACCCCCAAAAGGGAATATTGCAAGCAGAATCAAGCAAATCATTGCTCTGTAGATGCGCGGTAATAGCTGTGCATGGCATGTTCATCGCGTCTGCTGTTTACCCATATTGTTAATCACAAACTGTTACAGAATGTCACAGTCGCCGAGCTTCCGTCAGCGCTCTCAGCGTGTGCAAGCAGCTCGGGCAGCTCGTGAAAACTCTTGGTCGGCAGGCCCACGGCTTTGCTTAGCACTGCAGGAACCCACGGATACCTGAGACCAAAGGCACGGGCACCTTTTCATATTATTTCATTTCATTTGAATAACCTTTGAATTGATGGGGTTTCATTTCATTTTCATTTGATTTCGTTTGACTTAACTTCATTTCGTTTGATTTCATTTCATTTCGTTTGATTTCATGTCATTTCATTTCATTTGATTTCAGCTCATTTGCTTTCATGAAATTTTCATCTCATTTGGTTCTATTTGGTTTCATTTCATGTCATTTCATGTCACTTGGTTTTTTCACTTGGTTTGGTATCTTCTCATTTGATTTCAACTGAATTTATTTAAGTCATTTCCTGTGGTTCCATTTAAATTCATTTTATTTCGCTGTCATTTTGGTTTTCATGTTCATTCATTTAATTTCATGTCAGTTTCATGTTCATTTCACTAATTTCATGTCATTCTCATTTCGCTTCATTTCATTTGTTTGAACTCATTTCATCAGAGCGTGCTCCGGCGAGGTTTGAACTGTTCGGTTCGAGTTCGAACTGCGGTTCATTGCTGCCCGGGAGGGGGGGCAACTTTCGAATGGAGCCTCAATCCAATAACTGGCAGAAAATTTATGAAAATTTGGGTGCGTCCATTGCGGTCCGAGTTTGAGTGCGGGTTCGAGGCCGGGAGGTCGAGCAACGGGAGGGGGGGAGTCAGTTCGAGTTCGGGTTCGAGGTCCGGGGGGGTCAGTTCGAGTTCGGGTTCGCCAGCCCCCCTCGCGCCCTTGGAATTGGGGTTCAGTTCGGGATCAACCAACCTTAAAAATAAGATTTGAATGTAGACTTAAACCAACCAGCCACAAATAAACCCGAAACCGGCCACTCTACACTTTACATTTTCGCGCTCCGCGCTCGACACCTTTCATGCCACGCAGGCGCAGTATCTGGTGATGTGGCAGCTTGCCAGTACAGACCTGACCAGGCCCACTCTAGATGCCGCACTTTCCACTATAGTACATTGAAGATTTCACATTCCCCTCCACATTGTGCGCTGCGCACTTCACACTTCACGCTCCACAGTTGGCACTCACATCCCCAATTCGCACTCTACAATCTACAGTTTACAGTCCCCACACTGCACACTTCATACCTTACAATCTAGACTCTACACTTTACACTCGACACATCTCCGCACTCTACACTTTACATCTGCCACTTTGCACTTCAACCTCCAAACCCCACACTTTACCCTTACACTCTAGGCTTCGCACTCCACACCTTACATTCTACATAATGTCACACTCCACACTCCACACTTTACACTCCTCACTCCCAACTCCACACTTTGCACTCCCCGCGCTCCGCACTCCACACCTTACTCTACATTTTACACCCTGCACTCTACACTTTACATCGCGCTTCACAATCCACACTCTACACTCCACGCTCTACAGCCCACAACTCACAATTCACACCCTCCACCCTACACTCTAGACACCGCCACACTACACACTCCACACTTTACACTGCGCGTCTTCCTCTCCACCCCCCGCGCAACCCCCACCCACTTGACACTCTACACCCTACAGTCCACATGCCACACTTCACAAGCCACACTTTACACTCCGCACTCTACACTTTACACTTTGCACTCCGCACTTCACACTTCGCACTTCACACTCTACACGCCGCCCTTTACACTATATACACTTTACACTTCAGCCTCCACACTCCACATTGCACACTCCGCACCCACGCTTCACACTCTACATGTCACACTCCTCACTCCACACTTTACTTTACACTTTCTTATCCCCACTCTACACTCCACACTTCACACTTTACATTTCCCACTCCCCACTCTCCGCTCCCCACTCCACACTCCACATTCCGCCCATTTCCGCCCTACCCACTCTCCACTCTCCACCCTACCGCTCCACACCGCACTCTACACTTTGCACTTTGCACTCCACACTTCGCGCTATACACTTCACACTCCGCTTTGAATACTCTACGCGTCTCTACACGCCACACTTTGCACTCCCCGCACCTGGCACTCCACACCTTGCACTCTACACTTGACACTCCACACTTACATTCCCCACGCTTCACACTCCACACTCCGCGCCTCACACTCCACACCTGACGTTCTACACTTTACACTCCGCACTCTACACTTCACACTTTGCACTCCACACTTCGCACTCTGCACTTCACACCCTACAGTCACGCCACACTTAACACACTGCCCACACCTTACACTCCACACCTTACCCTCTACACTTTACACTCCACACTCGACACTGCACACTTTACATTTTAGACTTTACACTTCGACCTCCACAATCCACACTTCACACACCACAGCCACATCTCGCACTCTATGTGTCACACTTCACACTCCACACCTTACACTCCCCAATCCCCAGTGCCAAACGTTGCTTTCTGAACGCCTAGAAACTAGCTGCAAGCCTGGCCTTTACCTGCCATTCTGCACTGCCAGCTTCCAAATTGCTTGCTGCGTCTTCCAGGTGGCGTTCGTCAGGCACTCCTCGGGTCCAAGGACGCTGCCGCAGCACCAAAACACCATGGCAGTGAAGGACGGATCGGGCCCGCGCCCGGCAGCCCCGCTCCCCATTCTACACTCCACTCCACATTCTACACTCCCGGCATTCAACACTCCACACCGGAGCCTCGACACTTTGCACTCCGCACTTGACACTGTACATTTTACGCCTTACCCTCCACACTTCACACTCCACACTTTATAGTACGCTCCGCACTTCGCACCCCAAACTCCAGGATCCCCACTTCACACCCTACACATCTCTACACTCTACACGTCACACTTCACAAGCCGCGCTCTACACTCCACATTCTACAACCCACAACCCACCTACACTCGACACCCTACACCCCACACGCACAATTCGCTCTCCGCACTCCTGATTTCAGGCTCAGTGCTCTACACTTGTCACTTGTCACTTCCTGGGCATTTCAGCAACCGTTTGCTCATTAGTTGATGATCTTCCAGGCTTCTGCATCCCGCAGACCTTCCTAGAGGCTCTTTTTCGAAACTTCCGCCCTGGCACGGCCAGGCACTATCTGGCATGCTATTTCTCAAGGCTTTCTTGTTATTGAAAATGGTTGACGCATATCCGCTCCGATTCCTTCGCAGAGTCTAGGCAAGGTGCCTCTCATTGCTGAAACGGACCAAAGCGCACGAAGCCAAATCTGCTGCTATGGACTCCATGGGGAAAGCTGAGAGCCGATTGGCCTTGAAAGCCGAGTCCAGCTCAACGATCACCAGCCTTGTCTTTGAGGCAGCAATCTCCTCCAGCCATGAAATCAAATTCGAAAGGCCCTCGGAATATCTCTCATGGCAAAACTTGTCGTTCAGCCTGACATTTGGGATGCAATCTCCACCGCAATGCGAGCACTTTGGAAGGCAGTCGTTGGTGACAACACTATACTCCCGCAGATTTGACAGAATTTCATGGACAGCTTCGCTTGATGGAAAAACAGAGCTGCTAGAGCAAGCTTTGGCACATTGGAGAAACTCCCAACTTCCGGCAGCACTATAAATCCGACGGCTATCAAAGCCAGCCTTGTGAAAAAAGGACTCAGCTGTGAAAGAGTAGACAAAATAGTCTTTCTCTCCCACAGCGACAGCCAAGGCATCCAAGGTATCTTCATCCATTGGTATTTCGTTCATCTTTTCTGTATGTTCCGCCCAAAAAGCCCATCTCTCATAGATGGACAGCTTGCCATCACTCAAAATCTCCGAGCAGTCGACGGCAGTTTTGTAGCCCCAGTCACACATGGATGGATACTGCCTTGCAAAATCCTCCTCGTTCGAATACACTCGTCCTCCAGCTGCCTGCAAAGGTGCGGCC